TGTCAGGAGTCCTTTCTTCAAAGCCAGTCTCCGCTAACATACTCCTCTCAGAGAAGAGACATTGATTAAGCTGATAAAGCTCTAAGGAAATTAGACAGTATCAAGAAAATGCCTCCTCCAGGCCAAGCAACAATGTAAATCTGATAATAGTGCCAAGAGGCACTAGGCAGCCCTTCTCATCAGACATACAAAAGGTATAAAAACCAAAGCTTTGGCCCTAACTAGGGGCACCCCAGTTGGGACTCCCTCTCATTTTGTCAGATGTTATTTTCTGCTCTAATAAACTGTCCTTTGCTGAAACTTTACCTCTCTGGTCCGTGTCTCCATTCTTCAGTGTTACAAGACCACGAATTCTTGGAACATACAAACACATAAACACACACACACACACACACACACACATAAAACACAACACAACACACACACACATATAAAAAAATCCTGCATGGGGAGGGGGTGGGGATGAAGGAGAAGGGGAAGGGATGAGACAATACAAATTGGTAATTACAATATGGCCTTAGGGATAGAAAAAGACAGTCTGAGGAATATAATCAATAATTCTGTAAATATTTCTTAGGGGGACAGATGGACTCATGTCCTGTTGGGGAGACCACTTCATAGTCGGTGTAGAGGTCTGACCACCGCACTGTATTTCTGAAGCTGATGTTGAATAATATTGTATGTCAACTATAATTATATATACATATAATCACGGGACATGGAGTAGAGAGTGGGAATGGAATCAATGGAATTGTAATAGATAAGCATGATATCGGGGGTGGGAGTGCAGTACATGGGGGAGGGGGTTGTTACTTTGTGAGGGTGAAAAGGATAACTATTGCATTGTTCTGTACACCTGAAACTAACAATAAAAAAATCCTGCATGAATTAGAGGTCAAATAAAATGTGAACTGTAAAATCTGTTTTATTTATTAACAGTGATGACATTAACAAGATCTGTTTTTATGAAGGGTTGGAGCAGGAAGCTATATTGAAGTGGGTGAATGGGAGATAAACAAATGGAGACAATGAATATAAATAATGTGGAGAAATTAGCCTTAAATAGAGTAAAGGCAGCTCTTTTATCTTAATTGGGGAGAAAGGTGATAAACTGTTTGAAGATGTAAGTAAATGTGTGGATTTTGTGTTGAGAAAACGAGAACATTTCCTCCTGAAAGTTTCTATCTTCTATTCTCTAATATCTGACACCTTATACCTCTTTCTGCATAAACACAAAATGGGAGAGGGAGTCAGAGATGTGAGGATAGTAGAAAGTTTTGAAATAGTGACCTAACCAGAGAAACATGGTAAAGGTATTGAGTAGTGTTGCAGTCTTACACGCTGAAGTTCATGAGTGTAAACTTACACTGAGAATAATTGGCTGGATATTATTGAAATGTTGGGCTACAAAATCTATGCTGGATAAGGAGGTAAGTGACGAAAGGCAGGATCTGAACGAATGGGAAAAAGTAGCTGGATCAATAGACTTGAAGTCTCCATGACCCAGAGGTATGACCATAAGGGAAGCAGTTCAAGCAGCAAGTTGAAAGGATAGAAGGTTGAAGTCAAAGGAGGAAAGACTTTAATGATTTCTTTTTGTTATAACAGTTGTGAATGATGGTAAGTTCCAAGTTAGAATTGTGGAAGTGATTGACTCACATGGAGTGAAGGAAAAAATTATTGAGTTTAGTCAAAGAACTGAGAGACCTTGTTGTTAAATTGATGATCCAGGTGCATAAGAGATTCACCCAGATCAAGGCAGAGATCCTGTAAGAAAGAAATTAAAAAAAAATACCATGAGCCTAATAGCAAAGTGTTTAATAAAAGAAGGGGAGTGGCAGAGAGGGTGTAGGTGACAGTGACCAGGAAGTAGAGAATATGGTATAAAATAATTGTATAATTAGTAACAAAACAGGAATTTGTTTTTGCTGTTTTTGGCTTTTGTTTTGTTTAAAAGAAGAAGATGGAAGAGTGAAATGATTGAAAATGGCAATGAAGGTCAAAGAGAACATAATCCTGTCAATTGAATTTCATATGTGTAGGAAAATAAACACTTTAGAGTACTGGAGGGGAAGTGGCCTCAGGGAAGAGCTAGGATTCAGTTAAGAAAATGAATATAATGCTTACATGTAGTCTGAGTAGGTTATATAGTTATATAGGTTTGCTAAATGTGGGGCAATGGCCACATAGGAAAGACCTAGTAAAGAGATTTTGGAAAGAGGGGAGTTGCATCAGTCATAGGCAAGTCAGTACAGAGAATCACAAAATATAAAGAATTTAAGAGCCTTGACATTTTTGGTGATGACAAATGAAGATAAGCATAAGAGGGGTTGCCTGGTCTGGGTAATTTTGGCACCAGAATCTTTTTTCATGTGGTAGGCATATGGAAGAAATATTGCATGTTTAAGTTTTAAATATTTTTTCTCTTTCTTTATTGTTGATACGTAAGGAAAAAAGAGAAGTTTAAAAATATATCAGTAGAAATTTCATCAATAAGAGTTAGATAGTTTCTGTGGCCCTGGCTTTTCCCAGATTCAATTCTTATTCTGGAACTCATGCACAATCATACTCGTACGCTGATGTAGGTGTGGAAATAATTATCTCTAAAATATATAAAAAATTAGTCATAAAGGACAATTTGCCCTATTGTTATCCAGTGGTATTGGTAAGAGTTAGGATTAGAAATCAAGTTCTATTTCTACTTCTGTGTGATCCCTGCTTTCTCTATGCCTCACACACTGTTTCACAGAATGGTACTGGGCAAGCCAGCAATCATTGTGCTCATGGGTTTCAAACAAGTTTTGGAAATGCTGGACCAAACAAAGTGAACTAAGTACCAGAGCCTTTAATATGCCATCATAAATCTCCATGAAAGGTGTGGGGAATACAGCAGGCATCATAAATTCAAAGCCCCACAAGTCACAAAGCAGGTAACAAAGTGAGCGTACAGGCAAAGTACGCTGAGGGCTGAGGGGATGAGACATCATCTAATGGGGTCCCAACTCCATAGGATTGCAGTTCAGTGTTGCCAGGCCTTTCCAGAGAAGCTACAAATCTGGACCTTAATCTGAAATCTCCACACTTATGCATGTTGCCTCGAATTTAAAAGAAAAACACTGTAGTTTGAACAAAATTTTTAGATCAGATTATTCTGGCCCATTTGTGAAACCCGGTATATGATGCTTAACAATCTTATTTGCCCTTATAACCTTTATTCAGAGTCCTATTAATTTCCTAGAATTCTGTAGAACCATGTCATAAGTGTTGTCTTCAAAAATAGGCATCTCTCCCTCCCCAGACCACTATGGTATTAGCAACTCTGACCCCCAAGCATGATTTATTTCAGGGTTTACTTAAATTGAAATTGACACTCAGCCTTGTTAACCACTCATATAGAAATGTTTCTGAGGGCCGGCCGAGTGGCGCGATGGTTAAGAACTCGCTT